ATAGAGAGTAGCGGACGTTCCTGGCAAGACGCTTTAGGTGAAATACAATTGGCCATAAATTGCACGACAAATCGAACTACGAAATCTAGTCCTTTGGAATTATTAATTGGGAAAGAAGCTAGACCCTAGATGATAGGAAAGTAGACGTAACTTTTGTGAGAGAAATGGCTAAAGAAAATAGAAAGAACGCTGTCTATGATAAAATTAGATTCGACAACAACAAATCAAAATTTGTAAGATTTAAGATAGGCGATTATGTATTGCTCAAAAACAAGGAAAGACACCAGACAAAATTAGATCCCAAATTCAAGGGCCCATTCTTAGTGGGAGAAGTGCTCGATGGAGATCGATACGTTTTAAAGTCATTGGCTAACAAGCGAACTTATAAGTATTCGCACGAATCGTTGAGATGTATGCCGGCAGAGGGGATTCCCATTGAGTTGGACACATGTGATGATAGTGACGGCGTTGAAAGAGACGTCAATGATGTGTTAGTAAATTCTAACGAATAAGAGGCATTGGTGCACCCACTGTAGTTGATTTTGTAACACACGAGGACGTGTGATAGTCAGGAGAGCCGTGTCGTGGCGTTTAATTTGAAGTATTACGAATGAAAATGCAAAAACATGAATAAATCGATTGTATGAATTTCACAAAAATGCGTTGCTTGTCTATTTTTTATTTCTTCCATTCTATACTGATCTTTTCTGCATTGCTTTGTGCCTTTGTACCAGATCAAGAGTTCTCTTCAAATGATTAGAAATTGAATTGCTTTGAAACAAGGAAAGGTCTAGTATGATATCTAGAAAGTCATGCTGTGCTGGGGGTACTCGACAATAAAATCAATAACTATCGTGTTATTATTTTGGGCAAGTCACGCTGACGTTCATTAATCAAACAATCAACAACCCAAATACTCGCCAAGAGTATTGGTGATTACTTATACAACGTTGAAGCAATTGACAGAAACCCTCCAAGGTGCATACATCGCTGACGCTAGAAGTAGCGATAAAATATTCTAAACACAAACAGTTAATACAATGATAAAAAATAGCGCACTTAATAAGATCAAGCTTATTATGAAGACTGGTCAATTTACAAGCTTGAATGACCCTATATACAAATTTATAAATAAGTGCACAGAAATAACTGGTAGCTGTATTGGCAGTCGCCATAGTGGCCATCTTCTAGCCCGTGGCAATAACAAAGGCAGAGGCTACAACTATTATTGTGGTGGCGCCAACCAGCGCGGTGCCCGAAACCAAAGCAAACGGAATATAAGCACCATCAACCTAAATGTGCGAACTATGCAATCGGTTACGTTTAGTTAGTTTAGTAAATTTTAGAAAAGTACAGGTACACCTGTAAAATTCTTAAAAATCAATAAAAATTTCCTTAAAAAATACATAATAACAAGCTTAACAGGCATTGGGCAAGGAACATTACAGTCATTAGGTTAGACAAATCTAGGTCCGCTAGTCTACAAATTAAGAAAAGTTACTTTCCTTCAGTTAGTTCGATGAATTTATTATGCGCACGATTGTGCCGCTATATTTTCAACCAAATCAGACTTAAAAATTAGTTTAATATTTCATTTATTTATGCTCAACTGGAAGCCCCAAGACTATTGATCTTTCGGCTCATCCGCGGAGCCTGATATCCGACCGTGCATGTTTGTTGCAACTTTGTTCGTCGACACATTTTCTGCTACCGGTCACGCAAGGCAGGCGTGACAGAGTCATTGATCGCACTACTCCGCAATTACGCCTCCAGGTTAGCTAGTAATTCAATGTCAAGCTCGTAGACGGTGGTGAATCAGATAGACGGTGCCAAAGCAGATGAAGGTAATTGCTATAGTGACGTAGCCACTTGCAATGGGTCTTGACACCAGATCGAACAGACTCAGCTCGTGAAGAAAAGGCATGCTGAGATGACTTTGATGCCCAGTGATGTTGACCTGCGTAATGATGGGTGCTACTGGTTTTTGCTTAAGAAACCTCTTCGTCAATTTACGCTGTAGGATACAAATGACCCGACTAGGGGTTGCATTGCACGACGGTTCCAGTATTAAGATGTTAATAGAAGGTGGTGCTTTTACTATTATGCTGAATAGGATTATTTTTATATTTTTTAAAGTTTTTAGTTTCTGGAATTTAATGAGAAAGTTTTAAATTTCCTTATTCAGAAAAGCTTTAATTTTTGCTACCTCGAGAATAACAGCTACGCAAACCCTTATGAGATGTTCATTAATTATTTCTTCTTTAACCATGTCATCTGAAATGACGGGGCTGATCAAATTATTTTTTGCCAACATTGTTTATAATATCAAGGTTTTTTGTCTCGTCGGAGACACGTTAGTCGAATGTCCTAAGTATCCTTAATCGTCCCAATTAGTAACGTCCCCGTATACTATAGATATGTAGTATGCGTGTGAATAGTCGTTCAGCTTCGTAAAATAAAGTACTAACTGAGGTTTTCCTTGTGGACCACCCCCCTTTTATAAGAACCGTCCTGCAAGGGTCGGGTCAGTTCATAATGGTGTTAGTTTGTTTTTAACTATATTTGTTCTCCTGCTCTGAATTCCCTGTGTGACTTATTATTCTTTGAATGCTCGCGGGTATGGTCTTAACCTCTTTGAATTTTCACCCTAGACCGTGTTTCGAAGCGTCTGCCATTAAGTAGAATGGTCCTTTTAAAATTTGGGTATGTGAAGAGCACAATTTTGATACCAATATTCTTAATAGTTTGTCAAAAGGTTGTGGTAGCTGTGAGTATAAAATAATCTGAAACTCCCTGGACTGATTGACACTTATTTGTCCGTTTTTATGCCCGGAACCCATTGAAATGGGTAGAAAGGGTATATTGTATTTGTGGAATGATATAAGATTCTTTCCAAAGAGATGGAAAGACAAACAATTTAAGGGATAGATTAAAAAGCTTTAGCAATGGACGAAGAAAGGAAGAACTACACCACAGAACTACAGCCCAGGAGAGTCCGATTTTAAAGTATTTATAGCAGAAAAGAGTTAGGAATGGAAAAAAAAGGAGCAAGTATATAACCGGGTGAAGTAATATTGTAACGGTAAGAATTATTATTAAGACAGACGGAAGAGTAAGTTGATTTGAAAAAGTTAGGAAAGAAGTTAGCAGAATCGGAATCATTGCTATCTTTATCTGTCCCGAGAGAAAAAAAAGATGGCAAAAATTATAAAACTGCCTCGGATTTTTGGATTGCCTCGGATTGCCTTTTGTAACGAGTAAGATTGACTTGGCTATGGAATATTTAGCTAAGTGAATACTCGAACCAGTCTTATTAAACTTTGTAAAATATTTAGACTTAATATTTTGTAGGTTTGATAGTCTGGGAGGGAAACAGGGTGACTTTGAAGAAGCAATTGAAGGAATTGAATTAGGAATACTAGCATCTAAGATGGAGTTTAGGGTGTTATAAAAAAACTAATAGCAATATTCATATCAACCGAGTCATATAAAAAAGAACAATCGGTTGCATGAATACATTGATAAAGCAAGGAATAGTTTCCTTTGCGAAAGCAACGGCGGGGCTTCTAGGTAGCTGCTGAATGAGAGGATTGCAATTGAACATAGCAACCTCTAGAGTAGGATGATATACATCCTCAGGAAGAGATAAAGGAGGGGACCTGGACACATTAGCAATAAGGTAGTCGTTAACAAATACCAGATCAAGAGTTCTCTTCAAATGATAAGAAATTGAATTTCTTTGAAACAAGGAAAGGTCTAGTATGATATCTATAAAGTCATGATGTGCTGAGGGTACTAGATAATTTTCGGCAGTATATAATGACCAAGAGATGTTCGGTTAATTAAAATCAATAACTATCGTGTTATTATTTTTGGCAAGTCACGCTGACGTTCATTAATCAAATATACAACATTGAAGCAACTGACAGAAACCCTCCAAGGTGCATACATCGCTGACGCTAGGAGTAGCGATAAAATATTCTAAACACAAACAGTTAATACAATGATAAAAAATATCGCACTTAATAAGATCAAGCTTATTATGAAGACTGGTCAATTTACAAGCTTGAATGACACTATATACAAATTTATAAATAAGTGCACAGAAATAACTGGTAGCTATATTGACAGTCGCCATAGTGGCCATCGTCTAGCCCGTGGCAATAACAAAGGCAGAGGCTACAACTATTATCGCGGTGGCGGCAACCAGCGCGGTGCCCGAAACCAAAGCAAACGGAATATAAGCACCATCAACCGAAATAAGCGAACTATACAATCGGTTAGGTTTAGTTAGTTTAGTTGATTTTAGAAAAGTACAGGTACAGAGAGATATCACCTCTAAAAGTTTTAAAAAGCAATACAAATTTCCTAAAAAAATACATAACAAGCTTAACAGGCATGGGGCAAGGAACATTACAGTCATTAGGTTCGACAAATCTAGGTCTTATAATCAAAGATTTTCTTGGTTTCCATAGAGTAAATAAAAATTGGATGTTTAAAAAAAGATTTCCGATCAAATCAAGGCTGGTTCGGAGAGACTCAATAATTTTCATACCAAAATTAATATTCCGAGAGTACACTGAGAAGAAAACAATACGATATTATTACAAGCCAAGTCAGAAGTAATACTACAATTCAGGTTACTAACAGAGGAAAAAACAGTTGATGTTCCAAACCATAAACGAGAACCGGGAATAATAATAACTGGTACCTAATTAATACAACATTTGAAAACGCTATATAAACAGCGCAAAAATTTAAGATGAATCAGTAGAAAACTATGAAACAAACGCAGTCCCTACTAATACATTAAATAAAACCATTTGAAAATATTACATATTCCGAACGGAGCTCAAACGACAAAATACTTGAATGAGCAAAAGCTAACATTAGGTGATAAACCGCCGGTCTACAAATAAAGAAAAGTTACTTTCCTTCAGTTAGTTCGATGAATTTATTATGACTTAAAAATAAGTTTAATATTTCATTTATTTATGCTCAACTGCTAGCCCCAAGACTACTGATCTTTCGGCTCATCCGCGGAGCCTGATATCCGACCGTCTGCATGTATGTTGCAACTTTGTTCGTCAACACATTTTCTGCTACCGGTGAAGCAAGGCAGGCGTGACGGAGTCATTGATCGCACTACTCAATTTGATCGGGTTAACTCCTCCCGCAGCTAAGTGAGGAGCGTCTTCGGGCCTCCAGGTTAGCTAGTAATTCAACGTCAAGCTCGTAGACGGTGGTGAATCATCTGCCAAAGAAGGTGAAGGTTATTGCTGTAGTGACTTAGCCATTTGCAATGGGTCTCGACACCAGATCGAACAGACTCAGCCCGTGAAGAAAAGGCATGCTGAGATGACTTTGATGCCCACTGATTTTGGCCTGCGTCATGATGGGTTCTACTGGTTTTTGCTTTAGAGACCTCTTCGTCAATTTACGGTGTAGGATACAAATGACCCGACTAGGGGTTGCATTGCACGACTGTTCTATTATTAAGTTATTAATAGAAGGTGGTGCTCACAGTTGCTTCGAAATCGCTTAAGGCAAAGGTGTTTGTTCCGCAGTCTGCGACACATGTTTTTGTTTTCTAGATCTAATATTTTACTATTACGCTGAACAGGATTATTTTCATAATTTTTACAGTTTTTAGTTTCGGGAATTTAATGAGAAAGTTTTAAATTTCATTATGTTCATTGGTTATTTCCTTTATAATTATGTCGTTTGAAATGGCGGGGCTGATTTTTCCAGTGTGATTGAAAGTATTACATATTCTAAGCTTGTAATTATTATTTTATTTTTTGCCAACATTGTTTATAACATCGAGGTTTTTTGTCTTGTCGGTGACACGTTAGTCGAATGTCCTAAGTATCCTTAATCGTCCCAAATAGTAACGTCCCCGTCTACTATAGGTATGTAGTATGCCTGTGAATAGTCGTTCAGCTTCGTAAAAAAAATTACGAACTGAGGTTTTCCTTATGGACCACCCTCCCTTTTATAAGAACCGTCCTGCAAAGGTCGGCGGTGATCGATTATTCAGTTCATAATGGTGTTAGTCTGTTTTTAATTATATTTGTTCTCCTGCTCTGAATTCCCTGTGTGACTTATTCTTCTTTGACTGCTCGCAGGTATGGTCTTAGGCTCTTTGAATTTTCTAGACCGTGTTTCGAAGCGTCTGTCATTGAGCCGAATGGTCTTTTTAAAATCTAGGTAGATACCAATATTCTTGTTAGAGTGTCAAAAGGTGTTCTGGTGTGAGTTTGAAATGATCTGAAAAGTCTTTGACTGATTGACACTTATTTTGCCGGTTTTACCTTTAAAGAGGTCCGCTAACGGTCTCGCAATGGCGATGAAACTGAAAACCCCTGTAGTAGCTACAAAGACAATATAAACACTAAGATGAGTAACGCGCATACATTTGAATGCGACGCAAAATTTCTAGCCTGGCCTTTCATCTGGCCTTTGAGGCTTCGTACGGCATGCCTGCCGACTGGTTGTTCGTTCTCCAAAGACCAGACGAACGAATGCCGAAGTCGCGGCTTGCTGATGCTGACACGAGCTACGAAGTTAGTCGCCAGCCTGCCTTCAGCAAAGCTGGTCGATGCTGCTTTGCGTCGCTTCGTTTTCGAAGTACATTGAGCGAAAAAGTTTAGAGCTTACGATCGACGCAAAGTGATTATACTTTATCCAAGAAATGCATGCTTTATTTAAATGATATATTACCCTAGATATTAACAAATAATTTTACAGGAAAATTGAAGAACTTTTATAATTTTTACACAAGGCGCTTCTTGCGCAATAACTATGTTAAGAAAATAGCACACATAGATTGATTTCAGTCTTCTTTTTGGACAGTGTATGCTCGAGAAAAGTTCTTGTCTCAGCCAATAGCGTGCGTGCACCTTTCGTTGTATGCGTGAATGATACATGCATAAGAACTATAAAGTATGTATGTATGTGTTGTTATTCACTGCTCTGGCTTTAGCTGGCAAGAAATTAATTTTGTTAGTTTTCTAGCGCAGATCATGACCTATCCCAAATTTGTGTTGATATATGAATGCATTTTGTGTACTAAGGTTGGCTCCGCAGAAAATATGTATTTCTAAGTCGATGCAAATATTTACATAATTTCTTTAAATTTAATTAATATTATTTATATTCTCTAATTAAGAAACAAAAGAGGGCTAAAAAATACAATTACATATTTATTTGTATTAATAAATATGACTTTTGATTCAATATTTAGTTAGATATTTTATTAATTCAATTTAGATATTGCACTTGCAACTCTATGCCAAAAAGGGCGCCAAGCTTTAAGAATATGGAGCACAAAATGTAATCGATAGCTTACGATTGCATCGAGCTGCCGACTTTTTCCATTTTGCGAAAAATTATTATTTGATCGCATTTTGAATACTTAAAAGTTAACATTCGTGTCAGTGACTTAACGGAAAATTAGTGTGCAATTAAAATTTAGTGTTTAGTGCCAAAATTGCAAAATTCCAAAGCAGAAATACTTTTGGCGCAAATTTCGGGTGCCGGTGTGTCGCGTTCTTTCAAGGGAATTCTGCTTGCCACTTTTAGCCGTTGCTGCTTGATACGACTGGAAAGGTTGCAAGTATCTACTTAATATAATAGCCTTTTTTTAATTATTATATACTTTACTGAATTATTTATATACTTTATATATACTATATATATTGTATATATTAATACAAATAATTTTGATTTTAATTTTATAATTTTATTTTTTGCATAAATATTGTGTGTGATATTTTTGTAATGGCTGAAAAAAGGAGAGATCAGATAAGTAGCAGCAAGTGTAGCCTTCGTCACTGCCAAAAATCTAGGCGCGACTTTCCAGGAATAAAATTATTTAAGTTTCCAGAAAGGGATCCATCAATTTTAAAACAATGGGCTGAAAAATGCAACTTTAGTGAAGATTTTGTTGCGAACACATCTGCTCTTTTTTTGTTCCAATATCATTTTGCGCCGGAAAAAATTGATGCAGATATCTGAAACAAGGAGCAATACCAGATCGGAATATGGACGCTGGTAATAATTGCACTAGTAATGCAAATTATTTAAATGTTTTAATTTCGCCCCCAAGAAAAAGAAAACGTTCACAGTCTCCAGCTGAAATTTGTCGTCAGTGTCATAAAAACACAACGACGCTTAAATATTATCAAAAGCAATATTTCTCATTTAAAAAAATTGCTGAAGCAAGAAAAATAAGAATCAACTTATTAAAAAGAGAAAATACTAATTTAAAACAAAAGATCAATAGATTGAAAGTCAACGCATATGAAAGTCTTATTTCAAAAGTTGATAAAATGGATCTTACAGGAAATGAACAAATTCTGATTAAAATGCTTTTGAAAGAAAAAAAAGGAACATGTTTAAGATGGAACGATTCCGAAAAACTATTCGCACAGGGTATATTTTACAGGTCAACATATAAGCTTTTAAGAGACTCTTTGCAATTAAATAAATGAACATGTTACAAAACGAATATGCAGGTATATGCCAGATCTAAAAGAAAGAACTTCTATAACAAAATAACATTGTTGGGGACCATGGAAATATTTTAATTAAAAAAATTAAAGCATTTCAAGTCGACTCGAAGGTCATATTTTGTTATGATCCCATTATAATTATAATGGCCTCCTCGCGGTGTTCCCTGGGTACCGATTTTGCATCGGTAGCTAATTCGAGCGGCGACTTTGTTCTTTATAATTCGAACAAAAAATAATAAAATAAAAAAATAAAAATTAATTAAATGTATCTTTGAAAACAACAAATTTGCACTTTTATTTCCTTAATTTATGTTGTATTACTTAAAAATAATAATAATTTAATTAATAATTTCAAATATAAAAAATTACATAAATATTTGCATCGACTTAAAAATACATATTTTGTACAGAGCCAACCTCAGTACACAAAATGCATTCATATATCAACACAAATTTGGGATAGGTCGTGATCTGCGCTAAAAAACTAAGAAATTGTTTCTTTGCCAGCCAAAGACTTTGCCAGAGCAGTGGATAACAACACATTCAAATATGCTGTTATGTATGTATATTCACACGCATACAAACATAATTGCTTGCGCGGCCCTCATAGAGCCGAAGCTGAGAGCACATTCTATTTTTAGCTTTTTCGTTCTCTCGGCTGTGAGAGCGCAATGCTACAGATTTCGTTTTCGTTCTCAATTTTCAAAAAATCAAGCTTCATAGTAGCATTTTGTTGTATGGCGTTACTCATCTTAGTGTTTATATTGTCTTTGGTAGATATATAGACCCAAAGAGGACCCTAAGGACATACAAGATACATGGAAGATAGAAGTTCTTGATTGCCTGAACTTTTGTCAGGCGAAGTTGTTATTCCATCTTTGGTCACAGCAAATTCCAAATATTCCAACCTTACTTATTGAAACTTATTTAGTCTTCTTTATTCTTTGAGTAGAGAAGAAGATAATTACTAAACTTTTTTTGTAGCCAAACTCATCAAGACCTTTTTGTCAATTACCTACCTAGGCTTTTTTTTCGGTGATCGATCGATATGCTTTAGAACGCCTTCGTCAACCAGCGAGTGACACAATGTGCGACGGTTCCAGACACAAGCTGTTGAGTGCATTCGGGTCAACAGTATCTTACAGAAGCTGCTCACAGAATTACTGCATTCACCAACAACGATGGTCTGTGCGCCTCACTCGGCTACCGTTCTACTGTTCTCGAAGCCTAACATTATCTTCTTATGCTGTATTGGATAAACATTAGTTTTCTATCAAATAAGATTTTGGATATTTGATCAAATAATGTAACATGTTAGTGTTCTGAAAAGCTATACCCAATTTCTTTCAGGTACTCGTTATTATATCCGGAATTCAAAAATAAGGGTATAATGGTTTTGTGCAAAAGGAAGCATCTCCGACCCCTACAAAGTATGCATATTCTTGATCTTCCTCAATGGGCGAGTTGATCAAGCCATGTCCGTCTATCTGCCCGTACAAATTGCAAAAACTTCTATGCCCACGTACACATAAAGAGAATTTCAATTGCGATTGTATCGTATAACGTACTTTGTGAATGTGCTACTATTTTACTGCAGCTTATTTCCATCAAAGCTGAATTCCTGGTTGAATGCAGTTGCTCGACTCCGGTAAAGGGAACTAACTTTTTTTTTTGAATTTCTTTACTGCGAGCAAACGAGCGCTAAGATTGAGCTGCGTTTGGTGTAAGTAGAAGTTAAGTTTAGTTAATATCGTCTCGAAATTTGTAACGCATAGAAGGAGACATCTCCGACCCCATAAAGTACATATATTCTTGATCAGTATTAACAGCCAAGTTGATATAGCCATGTCTGTTTCTATGCGAACTAGTCTCTCAATTTTAAAGCCATCGTCATGAAACTTTGTAGAAGTGCCTCATTCTGTTGCACGCAGTACATATGTCGGAACCGACTGGATCGGACCACTATATCACATAGCTGCCATAGGTTTTTGTTATTTTATTTGTTTTATTTTGGGTTTCGAAATTTTTTTTTTATTTACTTTGAAAAGAAAGTAATAGTATTATTCACATATCGTTTAGGTGGAGAGTTTTATTTATTTATTTAAAAAAAAAAAAACGACTTCTTAATCGTAGTGTTTGATTAACGATGTATGACGGTAAATGCACATGAGGATCCCAGTTTAAGCCACGAACGCCAAAAAACAAGAAATATTTCTGTATAGATCCACTTCTGTCTTGGTGAATAGAAAATTGTGCCGAATAGGTCGTACCAGATATATAAGAGGGATCTTTGACGTGTACGGATCGGAAAACAACTCTGGCCTTATTGACTGCGGTCGTAACATGAGTATCGAATTTAAGTTTATGATCAAGAATAACACCTAGATAATTGACTTCATTACTGGTACTGTTGACACGCTCGAGCGGTAAGATATAAAGGAAACCATTCGAGGATCTATAGAAAGTCATTACCTAACATATCGAACAGTTTAGATTTAACAGGTTAACTGGAGGCAGAAAGGCATCAATGTCGGCTTGTAAGAGATTACATGATACCATATCTCTATGTAATGCACAACTTTAACCCATCAGCATACATTAGTACTCGAGAGTAAGACAGTATCGAGGGAAGGTCATTAATGAAAAGAGTAAAAAGTAGCGGGCCTAGTTGACCTTCGCATTCTTCTGCATTCTTTTCTTATACCCATCAATAACTAGGGAGTAAATTCAAGAAGGTTCGTTGTTGCAGATAAAGCTTGGTGAAATAATAGAGCTGCATAATGCTTGCAGTTGAGATGCGACGGTTCTCTCAAAAGCTTTAGAAAAGCGTATAATTTGAAAATACCACTATATATTTCGGTATCGGCCTTTCTCCCTTTCTTATGGAGAAGGGAAATAAACGATTCTTTTCAAATGTTCGGGAAAGATGAAGTCTTTACAGACAAAGTTTAAAAATAGGTTTACTTAGAGTTAGAGCACAGTTCATGAGCACAGATGCGTGAACACCATCAGAATACCGGCTTGATTGTGTTAAGATCGCTGAGTAGATAACAAATCTCTACAATATAACTTAATGAATGTCTCAGCGAATTAAGAAATTTCATTCCAGACTGTGCTAAATTGGCGGTAAACGAAAGTTTATTGTTCGGCTTTAATATCCATTTGAAAGCGCCCTGACTAATGCGTGAAAAGTGAATATATCTAATTTTCTTAAGCAAAAAAATTGCCTCGTGCAAGGCCGGGTAATACCCGCTAGTCATATTTGGTATATAAAGCATGCATATCATGGAGTAAGAAAAACTACTATGCGTCAATCGTAAGTATAAAACTTTTGCGCCCAATGTACTTCGAAAACGAAACGACGCAGAGCACCATCGACCAGCTGACGACTGACTGGCTTGACTTGCTCGTGTCAGCATCAACAAGCCAGATATTTCGAGTGAATGTGAATAACACTACCTTCGCTCCTTTTCTGGCCATACACTAGCAGATCTTTACCCAGGAAGTGGGTAAAAAGCGTATAATGTATTTGTGCAAAAGTATGTAACAGGCAGAAGGCAGCATCTCCGACCCCATAGAGTAGATATATTCTTGATCAGCATCAATAGCCGAGTCGAACTAGTCATGTCCGTCTGTCTGTCCGTCCGTCCGTATGAACGTCCTATAATTGCTAGAGAATTAAAATTGGAACGTAGGTTCTTCTAGTGCCCGCGCAGCACGAGTTTGTTTCCTATAATGGATAACTTTCCCCGTTTCCAAGAAATCGATAAAAATCCGATATCGAAATCCAGTTTATTGAGCAAATCTCTTAAGTTTTTAGAGCTAGAGTCACCAAACGAGCCATTCAGCCCACCGCCGCATTTCGAATGGGCGTGGCAGGCTGTTGCGAAGGCCGCAAAGTACAAGATACGCGGAGTTAGCAGGGCAGAATGATCCAATATCAGAATAATCCAGGCCATTCGCAACAAAGCACATGAGGGTCCAATGACGGGTGCTTTTTGGAAGCAAGACGCCTCGTTCTGAAAAATGGGCAATATACCACCTGGAAATTTTTGGTCAATTATGAGTCCTTTGGGAACAACTTCGTCACCGTGTGTGCTACCAACAAAAGCAGTCAAAATTAAAGACTTTCTTAAACCTCTGTTTTGTTAGGGAAGCTGTAGCATCGTAAAGTGTTATACATTTACACATATGCAAATGTACATATATTGGTCTTTATTAAGATTTGCGACAAAAGCTTTGATAAAGCAACTTTAGAAAAATATTAAGTATGTTGGCAGGGAGCTCTATGTTATAAATTGTATTTTAACGAGCTTTTCGCTTCCCATCTTAAAATAATATAGCCCGTATGGATTACCCAAGTGCCGTCAAAATATTTGATATCAATTTCGAGGTACTTTATCGATGAATTTAAACAAAATCGTATTGCGCGGGCACTAGAAGAACCTACGTTCAAGTCTCTTTTCCTTAAAGATCTTAATGCATACGTACGGATCGACGGACGAAGCAAGACCGACTCGGGCTCTGGTGCTGAAGAATATCTTTAATATATAGAGTCGGAGATGCCTCCTTCGGTTTAATAATTTTTAAAAAGCTATTATACCCATTTTACCCATTTTCAATGAGTTTTGTGGATCAAAATGGGATAGTAACGAATGTAAGCCTAATCTGTCTATGAAATAAGTTTGTCTTGATGAGATTGGCTTTTGGCAACATGTATATGTCGGCTGGTCTGTCTGTATGAACTAGTTGACCTCAGTGAAATTATTATTACCTTCAATTGAATTCAGCATTTAAGAATTTTCAACGACAAACTTTCAAGTCAGAAATACATATTTGGTTTGTTAATTCTCTTACTTTTATATATGTAACTTATACATAAAGTTAATAACATCTGCTTTGTCTACTTACTGTTCACTAGTACGAACAACCGGCGTATTAAAAATGGTAATTAAATGTCTGGATCTTGTAATGGAGACTGTAAATGGTACCTATAAGTACAAATAATTGGTATAGAATCATCGAAAAGTTATGAGTTGGTATTAAGCTTACTTTGAATCTAGGTTCATCAAAGCATGGAAACAACCGTCGAGCATTATTTGGTCTCAAGTAAGTGGCTAAAAAGGTCAAATTTGAATAAGATCCTTTAAAAAGTCCTTCTGCACTCTCCCAAATGTATCCTGCAAACGGAATTTCTAAAACACATTCAGAGCCATGCTTAATTTTTTCTGTAAGATAAACAATATAAATTGTTTTCTTAGGAAATCGACTACCGCGCAGAACTGTAATGTTTTCAGATAACTTTAAATCACTAAAAATGTAATTGATTAAAATATATAATTCGAAAATTGTAGGAGCAATAAGAGTGGCTAACCTGTTATTTTTATTAAGCTTTCGTAGAATAATTTTCTTGTCATCAATATTTAAATCAAAATGAGCATGAAGCGCAATTTTATTTGTGTCAGATTTCCAGATCAAATTAATTTTCACGTGCCCACTGAATGCACTTTTTTCGTAGTTCGGTTCTAGATGAATTTCGTAACTTTGTGGAATAATATCTGTTGGCAATCGATCATCCGTTATAATTGCATAGGAAGCGGATGTATCTATGCTACGTTTTACAGCAGCCTTAAAGTAAAAAAAATTTGTTTATAAGTTATTTAGGATTTTATATGTACATACATACATATATAGATTTCATACTTAAAATACTAAATAAATCGTGTGTTTGTGCTTCTGTATTATACAATATCCTTATTCCACTGTCCACATTTCTTACACATTTTTGAGCAATGTGTAAAATGCGGCCGGTACGTTTTCCCATAAGAAAATACATTTTACACATTTTTCAAATATTAGCCTCTGTCCACTGAACACATTTCTTACATATTTTTTAAAATGTTACATTCTTGAACAATGTGTAAAATGCGGCCTATACCTTTTCCCATAAGAAAACACATTTTACACCTTTTTCAATAATGTCACATTTTTGAAATATGTGTTAATTCGCCCCGAACAGTTCGTTTTTTTTTGCGAAGATTTATCGAGTTTTCTATCGATGTTGTGAAAAATGTGAAAGTCAGAGTTCGCAAATAACAGTCAACACTTTCGGGTTGTTTGTAAAATAACAGTTTTTGTCGAACGGAATGAATAAAGGGGAAAGAAAACACACAAAGTTCTGTTTATATGTAGCAGGCTCTAGGAACGAGCAAAAACTCTTTTCTTCGTATTTTTTCGGACATGTTATTCCACGAACACTGAACCAAAAAAATTGCTGCCAAAGTGTTTTTTGTGCTTGGGTGTGTCTAATAAAATTGCATGCATTTTTAATTTTTTAGCTTAATCTCTATTTATAAAACTGTTTGTCCTGACTGACTGACTGACTGACTGACTGACTGACTGACTGACTGATTGGTGATCAACGCACAGCCCAAACCGTAAGAGCTAGGAAGCTGAAATTTTCACTGTAGCTACCTTATTTGATGTAGGTGCACGTTAAGACGGGGTTTCGGGAAATTCCACTCGCAAGTGTGGACAAATCGCGAAAAACGTTTGTATGTAACTTTTTTGTTTACCATCGGATCGGCCTCAAACTTATTTTCAAAGATCTTTGTTCAAATTCATTTAAGGGGTGTTTCACACTTTTAGGAAAATACATTCCTCCTTGGTGGAAATGGAGGTCAAAGATTTGGTGGGTGACGTTTCGCGCTCAAATTCATTTCCAGAGATCTATAAGAAAAATCATTTGATACGTGTTTCACACTTTTCGCAGAATTCAAACTTCTTCGGGGGGAATGCGATATAAAGATTTTGTGGGCGGCGTTCTAAGTTGTGTCCGATTTGCTTCAAACTTATTTTCAAAGCTCTACATAAGAACTTAATAAATACGTATTTCAGCGATTTGGGAAATTCCACCCGCAACATTGGTAAGTTGGCGGAAAACGGTTGTATGAAAGTTTTCTGTTTACCATCCGATCGGCCCTAAACTTATTTTCAAAGATCTTTGTTTAAATTCATTTAAGGGGTGTTTCACCCTTTTCGAAAAATCCATTCCTCCTTGGTGGAAATGGAGGTCAAAGATTTTGTGGGTGACGTTTCGCGCTCAAATTCATTTGCAGAGATCTATAAGAAAAATCATTTGAGACGTGTTTCACACTTTTCGCAGAATCCAAACTTTTTCGGGTGGAATGCGACTCAAAGATTTTTTGTGCGAAGTTTTAAATTGTGTCCGATTTGCTTCAAACCTATTTTCAAAGCTCTACATAAGAATGTAATGAATGCGTCTTTCAGCGATTTGGGAAATTCGACTCGCAACAGTGGTAAATTGGCGGAAAACGTTTGTATGAAAGTTATTTGTTTACCGTCCGATCAGTTTCAAAATCATTTCAAATTGTTTTGAGAACATTGATTTTATAACATACGTGCCACGGGCAAGGCCGGGTTATACCCGCTAGTATTTAATAAAAATACCCATACACACAAACATATATAAACAAACTGTAAATTATTTAATGGGTGTTTTCTTATAGATTTGAATATATGCATGTACACCTATATCAAAAAGGTTGCCTACATGCATAACAGTATTATGTCATGCCCTCTTTTTCACTCTCTCACTCTCTCTCGTTCTAGCTTTCATTAATATCGTCACACGACAACAACAAGAAAAGATACTTTTCGCTTCCACTTTGTTCGTTTTGCTCTTCAAATAACACACATTTCTGTGCGACCGACCGAATGTGTCCTGTTCAGATCTTACTGTTAGACATAACAGCGACATTGCTCAAGCAAAAGCACAAACAGAGTACACACTTGTTACGAAATAAAGTGTTCGATGGAGAGCAAAACCGAATTATTCGAGAGCCGACCGCATTGAAAATAAGTGTTGACTGTTATTTGCGACCTCTGGTGAAAGTATCATTACTATAAACAGCCGATATAGCAAGGAAGGCAATAATAATTTAAAATTTTTATAATCCCACAGTTTTTAACATTTAAAGATGGCCAAATCCCGCAAAGAGTCCATTAAATTGAGCCCCTACTTCGAGGTCGTGTTTTTTTTACTTTAGAAAGGAAAAGTTTGCAGCGCTTAGGTAAATCCAAAGTCCAAAGTCACCTTCGTTTTTGTTCGGGTTCGAGACCCGCCCGCATGTTCAGATGCTCAATGCTCTCTCTTTATGTTTAGGGATCGTTTAAATGTGTGTGTGTGTGTATGTGTCCGCACAAGCAAAAATTAAATTTTTCTCAAATGTCAGAGGCATTTCTTCTCTTTTGAAGGGGCGAGTAAAATTAAAATATGAAAGAGTTTGCCATGTCGATGCAAAAATTAATATGATAAGTCAATAAAAATCATTAATACTATAAATATATAATTGAAGATTTTATTTTATTTTGCACAATTATTCGCGTGTCATAAAATTATTTAAGTGATCAGTCACTTGACCTACATATGCGAGTGCAGGTGCTTGCCAAACGTTTACCCTTTCGGCCCAAATTCAGAAATCACAAAAACTTCAAATCTTGTCAAATTTGCAAGGGACAGGCAGAAAACCAACAGGCACACAAACGCATAAATGCTTCTATTCATATACAAAATATGCAAGTAAGCGTGAATAGCAAGTTCTAAAACTTTTAAATGCACACATGCCAACGCTTAGGTATCCTGACCAAGAATAAAGAGCTAAAATGCAAGAATTCTGAATCGTCATGGTAAACCCTTTCATTATTTCATATTACACGCCCATTCAAAAGAAAAGAAATGCCTCCGACATTTGAGCAAAATTGAATTTGTGGGCAGTTTTGCTTGTGCGGACACATACACACATGCACATTTAAACGATCCCTAACGATAGAGAGAGAGCATTAAGAGCACTGAGAGTAAGTGGGAGCGATATGAAAAACAGCGATGTCGTTCTAACTCACAAATCATTTAGATGAGAGTGAGTCAAGGCAGTTTCCTGTAGAGTAAGCGAATAAAAAGACAGTGATGCCGTTCTACCACACAAGTCATATAAATTTCTTAGTCTCTTGCTGTCTGAGCATGCGGGCGTGTCTCTAACCCGAACAAAAACGAAGGAAACTTTGGACCAGCCGCATATGAAATGCGTGGACCCAGTATTTTACACTGGATGTCCAGTCTATATGTTGTTTGGTTAGTGCCTGAACGGATTGAAAATAGGCTAGAAGTAGATCAACCAAGATAAAATCGGACTTACCAATTTCGACTACTTTTCGAACACACAATCGAACAACCTGCAAACACGCAACATGGTGAACTACTGTTTCGATCCTCCTTTAAGCCCTTGTCTCACCCACCAATAAATTGCTACTCGGACGTGTTCAATGTTACCCAAATACATTTCATAAATTAACAAATAACATTGTTGACAATTTCATATAACTTTTTTCTTGCAGGGCAAACGCGAAAACGGCTTGTCGAAACGGATGCAGAGTGCAAATAAATAGCTATAGTTTTATACTAATTAATGAAAAAATAAATACCACTACCGATAAATGTCAATTGCCTTTAAAATAATAATAAATAGTAACTTTTTTTTAGTAGTAATAAAGAAAAGTTAAAATACAAAAAAAAATTGTTCCCTTGGCAGGGTACGAACTCGCAACTAACCGCACCACTTGCCGAAGCCTCTACTAAAGATTCACACCAATAATTACGTTTTAATGAGACAAAAACCAATTAAAATATCAGCACAGAAAACAATACAATCGCAATTGCAATGCTGTTGATAGAATTTAAAGAAGACGCGCATAAATGTGTGTGTACACAGAAATTCTTGGAATTTGCGCTAGCTGTTGCTCACACGTGCGCACATAACCTTTGTGTTTCTTAACCGATCTTAACGAAATTTTCGACAGTACATCTTAATGTAGAATAGAATATAGAATATTTATGTGTAATCAAAAAGTCAATTGCATATAGATTGTGGCTTAAATTGATGGGAATACAAGTTAGATAATTAACTTGATTTGTAGATTTGTGGTGGTAGCGGGGAGGTTGCGATAGGTATAAAATGAAAGATACTTGATATATATATACTATTCTAGAAGAAACATGTCATGTTTGGTGACTCTAGCTCTTATTATTTACCCAATTTTGCTTAAAAAACAGGATTTCGATATCGATTACTTGGGAACGGGACAAGTTGGAGATGCTTCCTCCCATTGAAAATGCGTAAAAAGGGTATAATGTGTTTGTGCAAATGTATGAAACAGGCAGAAGGAAGCATCTCCGACCCCATTAAGTATATATATTCTTGATCAGCATCAATAGCCGAGTCGATCTAGCCATGTCCGTCTGTCTGTCCGTCCGTCCGTCCGTATGTATGAACGCAAGGATCTTAGAACCTATTAGAGCTAGAGACTTAAAATTTTAGCTGTAGGTCCTCCTGGTGCCCGCGCAGATCCTGTTTATTTCTGATATTCGATAACATGCCCCCTTTCCAAGTAATCGATAAAAAACTATCTCGAAACCCTGTTTCTTGAGTAATTTTGGTAAATAATAGGAGTTAGAGTCTCCAAACTTGACATGTAGCTTCTAGAATAGTATATATGTATATACCAATTATCTTTCATTTTATACCTATCGCCACGTCCCCGCTACTACCTAACAGCCATAAATAAAGTAAAAACACCAATTTAAGCTGCCCACCAATATAAGCCACAATTTAAATGCAATTGACTTTTTGATAATACACGAATAGAATACTATAGAATAGTACAAGCAGATGTAGAAAATGTCATCAATATCGGCTAAGAAACACAGAAGTTATTAAATAAAGCATGTTATTGCTGGCCTCGAGTTTGGGGCAGCAAGCGCAAATTCCAAGAATTCCTGTATTCATGTACACACACAGATTCATGCGCGTCTGCTCTGAATTCTATC